TCATCCCTCCACCTCCACACCTAGTACTGGGTAAGTCTGACAAAAGGAACCTGTACAGTTTCTCCGGGTGATCTTGACTCTCTCGGTTCAGCTGCAGCCACCAGGCATTGGTAACTCAGGTCTGTGCTCTAACCTGGGCTCCCTCATGAGCTAAGGACTCAAATACCGGTTTGCAGCCAGGTCCTGACATCTACCAAGTTCCTTCCAAAATCCATTTCCTTCTGCCCTAAGGACAGACTGACTTTCTTGGGATGGAGAGGCAATGAAATTCCAATTTTCTCAAGTTCTTTAGGATCCAACCCAATAGATTTGCTGTCCCCCAGCTCCAGAAGTGGGCTGGTGACCCCCAGCCCATCAGGGAAGCTGATCTCCCAGCACTGCTGCAGCAAAGGGCCTGGGCTCTCCGGAAGCAAGGAGAGGAGCGGAGAGGTCTCCGTTCCCTCCTTAGCCCCTAGGGGAAGGCTGCCTGGGGTGAAAGCCACAGGAGAAACTGTCCTTGGTGACATTGTTCAGCCACTGAGTCACCCCAAACCTGCAGACCTTCCTGTTCTGGGCTGTGGTCTCCTGAGCCAGCAAACCCCCCTGTTGTTGGGGAGTTTTCTGACCCAGGGCCTCCTGCCTGAACTTCCCACTCCTTACCCCCACTGGGCTGATGCCCGGGTGACCAGTCTCCCTCTCAGCCCACCTCTCACCCTGAAGGCTGCCTTGGGTGTGGGTGGCCCCTCCTGGGCCTGGCTCCCTCCAGCTGCAGTTTGGGAAGCTGGGCAGAGGCAAAACGAGCTGCCTGTGAAACTGGTTTGTGAAAAGGGAAAGTCAACTAAAACTTGAAAATATCCTACGAACCTGTCGGCCATCTCACTTGCGGGTTGAGTGGCAAAGTCCTCACCCCTGGTGCCTGCTGGTGACCTTGCTTGGAAACAGGGCCTTTGCAGATGCAGGGAAGTCACCCTGGATGTGGCCAAGGGACCAGCGTCCTCACAGGAGGGGACCTGGAGACCCAGACACGGAGGAAAGAACACCTGGCGCTGGTCCGGGCCGCCCAGTGTGGGCTCTGTTACAGCAGCTTTAGGGACTGACATCGCCGGGCAGAGACTAAACAGTCGTTAAAAAGACCCCCAAAACTACCTCTGGCAAATCTGACAATTTGGTGAGCCTGGGAAACAATTCCAAATACCGAAGTGGGGCCCGAAAAGAAGAGGCTTTCTGGGGCCTCTGGCGGCTGCCCCTCTCCCGGTGGCCGGGCCGCCGCCCGTTCCCCGACCGCGCC